TATATATATATATATATATAACACTCGTTGTCGTGAATGCATCGGTTGCAATAATTCATAATATACAACAATTCTGATTTATTATAGAAAAGCGTTACACAATGAAAGAAGTAACTTTTTGCAAAAACGATAATGATGATTTTATAGAACAATTTTCATGATTTATGTACAAGAGAACAAGTTTTCAAATTATTTACAGATCTAGTCATTATTACCATTCAATGTTTTAGTCCTATTGGAAGATTCGCTTAGACGTTTTATGATTCATATTATTATTGAATGAAAAAAGGTGTCCCCCTGGCAAACAAGCTTATCACTCGTTGACCGATAACACACTCACATGATTGATCAACCGGCAGTCCATCGCCGTCCACTGTGATGTTCTTTACTTAATATTGTCGGTGATAATATTATTTACACATCATCTTTTAATGAAGAGAGAAGAAAAGATTGGCATTAGCATTAACAATATCAGTAACAATAACAACAACAATAATAACAACACTGAAAATAGCAAAAAGAATTAACAACAGCAACAACAACAACAGTAATAGTAAAACCAGAGCATTTTAGTGACGTGAAACGACTAACTAAAAACGAGTAATTTATTTAAGATTATTCAAATGAAATAAACGAAAACACCATCACGACAATAATGCTGGAAAAATGGGTAGTCGTAGTAAATGTGATTAGAAAATCAGAATGATTAAGTTGTTGAATGTGATGAAGATAGGATAAGATAACGATGATGTGAGAGGAATAAAAGGAAATAAGCTTGTACGCTTGAACGGAGGACAACCAAAACTGCGAAGCAAATTACATTACAACAGTGAATGAAGAGAAATGAACGACCACTTCTACAGTAACAATTAAATGCACTGATAATACAGTCAATCGAACAATCAATCACCTCACCAACATCGTTTATCAATCCCAAATTCATGCAAAACTCTCCTCCGTTCTTCTCATCGCTCAAAGTTCTACTCAAAACGCATTTTATACCAAAGTCACACTGATATTATCGAGTCTCAGCCACGCAATTATTCAGTTTATACCTATTCAGCTGCGAACAGAAAACAGTTGAAAAGTTGTTAAAAAGAAGAAAGCGAATAAAACAAAAAACACAAAAAACGAAATGAATCAAATAATAATAAAACGAACAACAATAAATGAACAATGCCAATACGAGGGATGAGACTGAAAATTTTCAGAAAATGGACAGAACAAATAAGATGAATTTGTGATAAAAAATGTATTGAAACGAAATGTTGTCAGTTATTACCACTGATAATGATAATATGATTTATAATGACATAAACAGAAAACGATACATGAATTACCAAAGTTTTCGAAACAGTTCATTTTAGATGAAAAATATAAGGTCCACCTCACAAATGTATGCCGTTTGATCTAGAAATATGGTCCCTCGGGCGGACAACGAGTTGATCAAGACAATTTTTGAAGCCTTATTTTGTACAGGTTGTTTTTAGACCAAAAGACATACTCTCCAGAGCTAGCACTTGAGAATTTCTGGAAAAAAAATTGTCTTCTAATAAATATGTACAAAATGAGAGCACACATATGCGCACACCACATGTTCAACATTCACTTATACTCCTGCCAAAAGCTTACATATTACATCTTGCGAGAATTGGTTCACTTATGCCCAAGTTTGCGCTTTCGGAACAACGCAAAAAGAGCATTTGACGTTCTTTTTCACTTTTACATGAACGACAACAATTCGAAAACAGTAAAATATTGAACGCATACTTAATAAGAATTAAAACTTCTGAGTAAAGTTTCTAAAGACTTCTGCCACTGCAACTAATCTGAACGAAGGATTCGATTCAATCTCGAGCAGCGCCTTGCCGGAATCCTCATCGCTCAATCAGCTAGATTATCTCAGGTGAATGCAATAAAGACGACTGAAACTTATTTCAACAAAACATGTGCTCAACAAAACAAGTGAACATTTACGATAATACTCAAGTAATGATTTCAACCGACAAACAACAATTACGTACATACCATATCATAATAATTATGATGAACAAAACCCGCTAGAGTGTACCTTTGAACGCAGGGATTTCTAAACGCGTATTCAACTGTGAATTGTGCTCTTTCATAGAACAATGGCTATAATAACGTACAAAATCAACCAGTGTCGCAAAGAATAGTTTCGTATTGCGAAATGCATATCCACATGATTCTGGATGTTTCACATCTCTAAAATTAACAATAACAATAGTTACTCATAATAACTACAAAAATAACTGCAATAACAAGGTCAACAAAAATCAATAACAATGCTGATAATTTCTAGAAAAATAATAGTAATAATGACAAACACTCATAATTAAAAAATAGTAACAATAAATAAAAAATGAGTGCAAAAAGCAAGCAACAAACCTATGTTCAATTAAGCAATTGTATATCTGATTATCATTCGATATGGTCAATGCATAATGCCCGGCTTGTGAACCACTACGTCTTATAACAAATATCCCATTTGAGTTATTTGGATTACAGTCCATCAATGCCCGTACTATTTTCATTCCATTCTCCTTCAGTGAAACATGCTATTAGTATTACTAAATTTATTACTGTCACATCACGTAGTAATAAACTGCTAATTTTAAAATATGATAATTTACGCTCACCTTACTACAATCGGTTGAAAGGAATCTATCAGGTTGCCACTTGATATGAAGTTGCATAAGAATATGCGATAGCGGTTCGGGTTCAGCATCCAATAAGAAAGAAACCTCTTGTCGCTCCTTGTCTAACGTTGACTGTGGAACTTTCAATTGACATAAACGATACTCGCAATTGTTTACATCACTTAAATACAATTATGTTACAATAATAACACTATTAACAATAGCGTTTGTCATCACCGAACGAATGCTGAATAACAAAAATAATCAGAAACATTAACGATAATAATATTAGATAATAGATCTATCATCTAATTATTTGTTATCATGTTATTGTGATCGCGTACAGATCAGTTCGCTCTGATTGTAACGTTTGACGCTCATCAAATCAGTTTCGCATTATGTGTACTGAACAACTGGTTGCGATCTGCCAATGTCGTTGATAATAATATCATTATTCGTGATAACAATAAAAATGGCAACAAATAAAGCTGACGCGTATAAATTTGATAATTTCGGTCTCAGTTTCGAACGTGACAGATTGAGTTCTTCAATACGCGCTTCGATAACTTTTACTTGTTGATTCATTTGTTCTTGTTGAATTTGGATACTTTCCGATCTGGAACCTAAATAACGGTTGACAAACAGCTGCGTTCATGTTGATATTTAGGGAGTTCGTGAAAGCTCTTCAAAACAGCCGCGAATATCAAGCAGAGTTACTCAGTTCCGAACAAAATAATTGAACTTATTTTGCGAATAGATTAAAGAAATAAACGAATGAATAATTAAACAAATATCAACAAACCGCCTCTGCTGAAATTCGATATTTACATTCAAATGCGCCAATTCTGATTCATTCGTCAGCAGTGTTTTATTCCTGAAACAGTAGTAATCAACTGATGAACAGTCACTCGAAGAACTACCTGCAAAAAGTCCAACAAACAGGTTGTCATCATTACAAATAATGATTATCATCGAAACGATATTATAGAAACAATAATAAAGTTAATATATCAGTAACAATTATGACGATAATGACAGTAATAGTAATAATATCAATAACAATAATAATAATAGTAATAATGATAATAACAATGATGAATAAAATAAATACTTCGAAATCAACTGTAATTGTTTATTGAATAAATTATGCGCAGCATTGAAAGCAGCTCTGGCTTGTCGTTTCCTTTGTAGTTCCTCCCTCAACGTTTCAAGTTCAGCATTGATTTGATCATCCAATCGTAGAATACGTGAATGCGCTGCACGAAGTCCACGCAGCTGGCATAATAAATGTTCGACACTATGCACACCATCGATTTCCTGAATAATAATACTGATGATCATATAAAATAACGATACTATAAACAACAGCAAAAATAATAGAGCGAGTAAACTTAAGTGAACAACAATGACGTATAAAATAAAAATCCAAAGCGTTAATAATAACTATGCACATTCCAGCTGTTCGACAAGATGATAACAAATTTTTTCAAATAAGCGAACAAAAAAGAACACAACATGCACACATACCCACATTGTTTTCTCGATATTCGGTCTTCTCAATGGATACAATAATTCAGTCTCTAGCTGTCGATTGTATTCAGCTAATGAGTTGCGCTTGTAATAATCGACTAATTCAACAACTGTCGCAAATCTCAAGTCCTCCATCGCGAACCCACAACGACCATTCGAAACGAATATTTTTATCAGTTTGTTCCTCTTAAAGATTATCTATATATGAAGATGAAACAACTACCAATTCCATAAACAGATAAATTACCTGTCAGTTTCGCTCAGTCGTAAATTTATGCTTGGGTTCTTATCCAATGCTAGTTGTGTGCAGGTAAGCAAAACGCTAAATGTCACTAACTGTAAACGAGAACCACCTCGATAATAGCGTTATCACAATCCCACGATCACCAGCGATAATGGGAACGAATCTGGTGAACAGATAAATTAATGAGTGATGATCAAGAACTTACATCGCCGAAGCGAAGTGTCAATGTGTAATCACCCTTCGTTGACGCATCTCGAACACAATATGTACCACTATCACATCCCTAAGTGACCGATTTTATCATCGTAATTAGTTGCGATTATTAAGATTATGATTAAAGTTGATAAAATGGCTACTGCTGAATATTGCTAAAATTATCTAATATTTTTTACTAATGAAATTCTAAAATTAAAAACCAAAAAATAACAACCGAATATATAATTCAAAAATCCCAACATTCATAGCGGATGCGATCAAATCCTTGGATGTATCACCCCAATACCACAACTGCGAAGATAAATCGAGAGCGCAACGCTTTGACTCATCATTTTCGTCATTATTATTCACTGACGACGACTTTTGTGCAGAAGGCGAACGATGAGTATTGTCTTGTGGAGGCAGATGGTCATAAGAACAACCTTCTTCCATCCGCCGACCTGAAATTTGCAAACATCCAAAAAAACAGTTCAATAACTTTCGAACTGCACTCAAAATCGTATGCTCAATTAATTTGAAAGTTCTACTCGCTATTACTTTTGCGACGAACTATCCTTACTGACAGAGTCCTACTCCCGAATAACAAACTCACATTCTCACATGAAAACCTTTCGCGCAATACTAAAAATGATCAAAAACGGATTTAAAAAATCCAATAGTTATCCACTATGCAACTATTCTGTCGCTACCTGCCACTGTTTGGGTGGAACTATGCAATGGGCGTGAATCAAAGACACTGCGCGTCAGCGGTTTTCACACCTCTCGAAAGAGAATGTGGTTGCGAGAACAACTGGTGCGCTTGAAGGATCATCGAAGTGTTTAAGATATTGCATTGATAAATCATATGCAAAGTGAGCGCATGAAAAAGGCGCTTATCAGAAAGCGTTCTGTTTGAAGGGACTTTCTTCAGAGGTCACCTCGTCGAAGTGAGAAATTTAGTGATACTTGCACACATGAGACGCCATCGGTGGGCGCGTTGTTTGGAAAATCGAAGATATGTGCTTTGAAGCGAATGAAAAGCCTTATCAGAAACCGTTCTCAGTTTGAGGATGGTCATGAACTTTGTTTAGAATACCGATAACTGTTGAAGCCGCTATTTGTCCGTTTCAAAAACATATTGTGAGAATATAATGGAACAAGAAATAACAACATGTGACACGAGGAGAACAAAAATTTATTACTGGAGAAGAATAAGATATTGTGAAGAAAAACTTTAATTGAAGTTAACCGAATCAATACGATAATGATATCTTATGAGATGAAATCTGATGATGAGATGGATTAAACTGAATCACTGGTGAAAAATAGTTGTAGGGCGGTTTGAAGAAATGGTTGTCATTCGAGTGTGAACGACGATGATGCAGCAGTGATTTGGATATGACCATAAATATGATTTTACGAAACGAAATCAGACATTTACAGTTGTTCCGTGGGGTGACATTTCGATCCCAATATAAAGCGTGTATCTTATTAAAGATGCGAAAATTGAAATTAGTAATTATGATTCTGATTGGTGCAGCATGCCTTGTGCATGAATATGCCATGTGCATGAATATGCCATGTGCATGAATATAATACAAATATTGATAGTCCTCAGATTTTGTGCACATCCAACGAGAGATGAACAGTTCTAATATCATGTTGGAATCAGTATTCGACTGCCACGACATCTGATTTCACCGAAGTGATGGTGAGTCACTAGCGTTAGAATGAATGAAACTGATGGAAAACGATATCAATACAAAAAATGAATGCACAGATATGAACTGAGACAAGCATGAAAGAGTAACCTGTGATGAGTAATTGCTATTAACCAATTGTTATTACTGGTAAAAACCTGCTGAAACAATAAGCAAACATCTGAAATCTAGATTGTATATTGTTTCGGCAGGTTTCTATCAATAACAATTGGCTATTTGCAACTACTCACCGAAAAATTCAGCTCTGTGCATCTTGAGATGCAACGAGCAAAACACCCAGCCCATGATCTGTTACGCGCATAAGTCATCAGTTTTATTATGGATATGTCTCGTAACTTCAACATGTCACTTAATTATTACTGTATACATTAGGCATACATTCGTACAATGAGATTATTTCAGGGTATTGTTCAATTGAACAAAGACGCACCTTCATCTTCACAGTTTTATTGACTGTGTAACGGTATTATTATTTTCAAAAAAAAAAAAACGACGACTATATGTACAACAAGAACGAATAATGAGACAATAATGAATCAATCTGTACATCACCTACAGCGACAGACAGCTAAATTGTACAACATGAAATTATAATACTAACTAAACACACGTATTATTCTTCGAAAGCTACTCGTGTTCATAATGCGAAGCTATTCGGTTCTCGCAAAAACAGACTAACGATAAGAGCTAGAAACCAAAAGCACTTTTTACGATTGAAGATATATGTGTCATGTTACAAAAAATAATAATAACAACAGTAATAATCACAAGAACACAAATAATAATTAGATTTTAAAGCAAATATTTAACTTTGAATACTCCAATATTTAATCTCATAAACCACAAATCCGAATGATCGAAACCCTTTGACAGAGTTGCGCTCGAATTTCTTATCAAATAATACGCGATTGTTGATGGTGACAAACGTTTGAAAATTATAAATAATTGCATATTATTTACACCTGACGTATACAAAGAAAATGATTTTCAGCTGAAAGCACTCACTCAGACGCAAGTAACGTTCAACAGACTGACTGTATGCTTCGCATATTAAAATTATTATCAAACACATACTAAAACAATATGACCAATGGAAGCGAGATTCTATGAATAAATAAAACGGTATTCTCGCAGAATACTAACGCCATTTCGGTTACTTTCAAGTTCACCATTCATTATTCGCTTACATTATAACATTTAAAGAACGTTAATTTGTACACCACTTCATATATAACACAATACAGAATATTTTAAAGCAACAGTACAAATGAGATATACAGAGCTCATATAGCTTGGTTATTTGAAGAGCCAACCGTTGAAGAGCCAATCAGTTTGTACATTTCATCTCTACGAAACAAATATGCAAGTAAGCAATCACTATTTCTAGAAATGCAGATCATCGCGTGAGAAATAAAACAAAATAAAAGAGCACTTTTAGATTGAGCAAAGCGGACTGAGCTATTCATATAATAATAATGATGAGGGTATTTTCATTATAGGTAATATTTGCCTTTCTGTAGAGTAAAATAACTACTTCAATAAAATAACTGCTTTTTATGATGAATCTCTATAAAGAGATGGCAGTTAGTAAGCAATTACTAGAGGGTGCGAATTAAATCAAGTGAGAGTTCATAGAAGAGAAATGCAAAACCCGAATTCGCTGCTGCTTTCAGCATTGATGGCCACAGACCTTTGAACAATCCTGCAATTCACCACTCTGTCAATCGTTCATCAATATTCTTAACGCAAAATTGATAAAATTAAGTCAACAAGAAACTCACCTAGTGCAGATTCGTTTCGGGTGACATGAATGAAAGTGTCGACCATTGACTGACACTGTGTTGTTTTGCCGAACCCTCTTCGCTTAAAACCTCGCATCTGAATTGAAAAACAAAACGAGTTAACCACACGGTAACATTTGAAACAGCTTTGCAGACAAAAATGCGTAAAGAAAGGTGACGAAAAACGATGGTAATGTAGCACAACGCGAAATAAAAGATATCACTAACATGAAAAAACTTCTTCAAGATCATGCACAGAGTAAGAGAGCATTTTGCAGATATTTGAGTAATTGGAGCGAAAATGAGACGAGTAATGAATTCGTTAGGGAAATGTAAACCTGTAAACGGTGCCTGACCATATCCAGTGGATATAACATGGTCTTTGATGCAGTTCCAGCTAAAGCTCCACACATCAAAGCTCCGGTTGACTCTGCAAGAAGTTTCTTCAATTAATCATCTGAAGACACTCTGAATTCTCCGCACATTACATACCCACTTCAAGTAGTTTTTGTATTCAGCAAGCATGGACTTCTTAATCTACTTGCATATATTTCATTTCAGGCGATATTCCACTGCAAATGTCACATAAAAAGGACTGAATGGGTTTACTATCAAAACATGTCTATCAAAGCAACCAATTTATATGAGCGTATAATATACCGACGCTAGCACTAGACCATAATTACATAAGACGATTTGATTTTTAAAAAAAACAACTGATTTTTTTTGAATGAAGTCAGATGCAATATTTCTTTAACGAAACAACACAGTGTGAACTGAAATGCATAAGGTCTACGCCATTCAAGCAGATTATTGCAGCGCATTGTTTTCACTTGATAACAAACACTCTACCGTAGATTTATGAATACAACAAATAAAAAGCCGTTCTACCGATATGTGGTTATAACATACGTTTCAGTCAGAGATATGAAAGATCATTGCTCAAAAATAACAAATGGAAAATCAAGAGCATCATCTTCGAAAACTCTATTACAATGAAACTTTTTTTCTGGACGATGCAGAGCTAAAGCTTGTACAATATGCAACAATGTACTGCGCACAGATCACTATTTAGTACTCAGCCTAGATGCCCAATAAAACAAAACAAAAAAAGTATATAGAGTAACTTACCATATCTATTGATAAACCTTTTCCAAAGACCGACAAACCAGTTATACAAGGCGAACTGTATTCCTAGAACAACAATTATTTACCACAAAAAAAGAAGAAACAAAAACCTTTTATAGTTGAAATTATACCACAAACAAATATGGACGGAAAGATACCTGTGTACGGAGCAATCTGTGCGAGTGAGGGACTCAAACCTCGAAAATAACCTCGCAGCCCTTCAAATTTCCATATACATAGAGTTGCATGTAAGGTGCCACGATAAACCTTGAACGATAAAGAATTTGTCGTAAAACAATTAATTTGAAAATCCAATGAAAACTGAAAAGTGTGCTGAATGAAATGTTTTTGCACACAAAAACAATTGTGTCGATGAATGAATGCCTACTTTGGGTTCCCCTTGAGCAACCAGTCGTGTTCGTATAACGTCTAAGGGCATAGCTGCTGTCATCGCACAACATCCAGCAACTGCACCACATACAAAATCTGTTACACCACGATACGTTAAAGCAACTGCAATCAACAAACAAATTTTACATCACCAATTCATTTCTTACTAAAAACATCAATAATCACGACTGTTCACAAAATAAAATTACAGAAATACAACTGAATACTGTTCGTATCATGGTATTTAAATAATCAGATTGACTACCACCAGGTGCATTACTCGAACAGCGAATATAAAGTGACACGTACTTGGTACATGAAGAGCCTGCTTGGTGAGTACTTCAAAGCAAGTGAACTGAATAATGCCATAAATAGCAGATAAGCCTTGAGCCGGAACGTGACCTTTCCAGAACGCTGCCATGCCCTCCTCTTTTCTGATCAACAATAAAGCTTGAACGATTCCCGAATATTTCCCCTTACGTGATCCATGCATCGGCTCCTCTTGAAGCTCAAATGAAACTTTAGGTATATATCGGTCAATTTTTTGCTATAGAATTCAAAAGATGTTTAAAGCGAAGTGGCTAAAAATGACAATAAAGAAAGCATTAACCTGGAATCGTATCTTAAGCACGTCCAATGGCTGTATAATACACCTCGTTGCAATACCGCTTAACAATCCGGCTTCACTGTATTCACTAGTGGTTAGCTCACGACCATTTGCCTCTTGTCCACCGTATCCTACCATAACCCGTCCTTAAACACCGTTTATGAAAGGAGACAATTCAAAGCAATTTTATATCGCGATCAAATAAACTGATACTTCCTGAATTACGCAGCAGCACAGCTTGAAAACGCGTTTTCTCAACTTTCGATTGATAGCCAACAAAATGCTCGATCTGAGCACTTCACTGATAAGCAACATCAAAGCGTTGCCGGCAAAAAATATTTTTATTGCGTGAAATGAAAGAAAAATTAAGTAACAAAATACTGATTCTGATAGTGTCAATGAAACAGAATGTTTGTGTTTGTGTTCGGCTAACTTTAGAATTATTACGTCATTGTTCTATTTAAATACATAGCTTGATTGCAGATCTTTCATGAGTGATATTTATATTAATTGAAGATTGAAATCGTAATGAAAGGAGTTGATGAAAAAAAGAGAAATGGAATCAAATTGAACGGTTCAACATATCGATAAGTTGAATGAGCGAAACTAGTTTCGTTCTTACGAACAGCATCACACGACGGCTATTACAACAGTTAAAAGGAGAAAAAAAGCAACAGATAACGCATCAAACATCTCTAGTGATAACACAGAACTTTGCGATCGTTGAGTACTTGTTCAGGCAATAGAAGAAAGTTTTCGAGTTTGTTACATAGATTGAACCGATTGAGAAAAACACAATTTAACTGCCAAGCATTTGTTTGATGGTGATGACTTATCATTTTCTTTCATTCTCCAGAAAAAAAAAAAGTATGACGGTGATTGAACCACTGAAGTTATGGATGGGACTTGTAAATGATGCCAAACCTGATCGGAGCACTAGCATGTAATTCGGTGGATGCTGCACTGATCAGATAACCCCAAATGATGCAACCACTAGAAATCTAGTACCTTTTTTTGCAATTTCTAACAACGAACGGCTGTTTGCCTCAGCATTATCATACCGCTGAGACATACTTTGCTGCTGAAAATGTTTAAAGCCATGGTGATGAACAATCAGTGCAAAACGAAGCACCAGAGCACGTGCACTGCTAGCTGAAAGGAACCGTCAAATTTGAGTACATTCGATGCGATTGTATGTGAACGCATCAACACTCTACATTTCGCAGCCATTCAACCATTTAGCCGGAACCTTGGTGTGAGCCCAGGGCAAAATCTGAACCAAGCCTAATAGCAAGCCAAGTTTGGCATCTCTCCAAAATCATATTCAGATAGTAACGCAACTACCGCCAGAGGCATCATTGCCTTGTTCAACCAACACCCGGTTGGATGGATGAGCCAAGCTGAGCTCAAAAATTTTTTATACGTACTAATTTTTGGTTTATTCGTTCATTACATATGATCCATCCGTCCATATGATCTCTATAAGACTTATTCTAGCCGCTGTTTGAAAGCAACTGATAGTAATCGTCTGAAAAGCTGATGAGAAAATATTTATGAAGTGTTTGTTATATTGTTGTTTGATTGTGTCATTGATATTGTTATCATATCCGTAATCACTTCTTATCAGTTCCAGCAGTGTGTGTGTCTGGTTTCGTTCAGTAAAGACCAACCGTTCTGCGTTGAACACATCCAGTTTTTTTTGAAAAGGTAACGAATAATTGAAAGTTTTATTTTACCGATTGACTTTTGTGTTGATTTTATGAACTTCTTGAGTCGAAGTGCTTATGAAGTGGTTCGTTGGTGTTTAGCGTGTAAAAATCATTTTAGATAATCCGACGATCACTGATAAATAATCAATCGTAATTGCAGCTGTGGCCGCTCATTTTTTGAACCGAGCACAAGATGGCAGTGTCAGATGTGCACAGCAGACAACGTATCAAATGAAATTTCTTGAAGTTAACCTGAATTTCGACTAATATCAACCGTTTGAAGCGATGGTACCAGTCCGCAGGTTGTATAGTGGTCTATTAATTGGCACATGTACTCACTTCACGAACGGAGCATTTAAACGACATTTACTTATTTCAGATCGATTATCTTCAATGTAAAATGTGCATATTTCGACATTTCTGAAGCAAATATCATTTCGGCTCTTCTCAGCCTTCTTTCTTCATCATTGGTAAATCTCACGTGGTTGTTTTTCAGTTTGCAGTTATTCGTTTAATAGTTAATTTGATGAGCGAGTTGAGTTAACGCTTCATTTTGAGTTATCATTATAGGAAATGTGTTTGTAGTATGGGTATATTCTAGGCTGTATTTGCGTTGATCAACAACGAATGGATGATAATCGAAGATGACGAAACCAAGCTATTGGGAGCATTAGATCTGAATTCGACTCAATCTGATGAGAATCTCATCAAAGAATTCACTTTCATTCATGCCGAACGATGTCAACGGTAAATCTGCATTCAAAATCTGTTTTGTTTTGTTTGAAACGACGCACCTTTCGAGTTGCTTCAGCTTAACCCAACTCCAAAAGATTTTAAAGCATTTATCGACGTTGGAATGATTCGTGACAGAACATGCACACCGATTTGCAGCCTATAAAACCCTAAAGGGTGTTGGAGCTCGGGCTAATTCTAGTCTCATTTGTTGGAATGAGGCTCAGGATTAGGCTCAAGGTTACTCTCAGGACCCCCAAGCCTACTCTCAGCCTCCCCCCCCCCCCCCCCCCCCGATTAGGCTCAAGCCTACTTAGGCCTCCTCTTCTACGAGAATAAATTTCCCCGTATGAGCTTTTCATTAACTGCATTTACGTTTTAATGCGAATTAGCCTAGTACCTATTTATGAGCTGATAAATCTCTCTTCATGAATGAAGTAATCAACAATACCAGAACAATCACCTGACTACAAGAGATTCATTAATTCTGCATTCGATTTTGTTGAAATTGATCAGTCCAAGTGAAGTCTGATTTTATACACTCAAGGAAGTTTGACTGGTTTTATTTAAGAATTGGAACTCGTCACTTCTGGCGCGCTGTTCGGTTCGGGTCTTTTATTGATACGGATGGAATGTCGCATATTGTATATCACTCGAATGGAAGAGGTAAACATTCATGAATTACTCATCTCACTAAAATCAGTTGATTTCGACATAGTCCCGAATTCAACAGTGACTTCTTTAAAAGAGCCCACATTTGAGAAAATTTTTGTATCGGTAGAATTTTCACAGTGTTGCCTGTCTGCTTCATTTAGAGTGATCTGTAATGATCAAACCTTTTTTCTGGATGTAATTTTCTGGATCTGGATCTTTTCTGGACCAAACTCAATGGATGAATATTTTTCGCTTTTATAATATAATAGCGTTAGTGTTAACCCGTATGTTTTCATGATTAGTGTATCATACTTTCAGTTCTAGTCGACTGTATAACGCCACTAGTAGCGAATCTCTTTTACGTACTGATTGCGTTATGTTTCGTTGTGCTTGTTACATCTTGCGTAGCGTGTATTCTGAATGTTCTTGTTCCGCCGAGTGGATTCTTCCACTGGTTGAGACGAAATGCGGTACTTGAAATGTGCAACAGTAAGTCGATTCATTATGTTTTGCATCATTTCGACTCGATTATTGCAATCAGTCGTTTATCGAATAGTTAGCTACACGTCTGAATCATTACTTTGCACGTATTCATTGGACGATTAAGTAATCAAAATTTACAACCGTTGTAATTCAGTTTTAGTTGTTTTTTGTAGCGTAGACAAAAAAGCATGAGTAAAGTTCATTGATCCTGTCGGAGGGTACTTCCGAGTGGATTTTTTGTGATGAATGATTTCGAACGCAAGCATTCAGCATGCCATTTATGATATCGATGTATTGATGTGGTTCGCCACCACCGTATTGATCATCATTTGGTTTAAGAATTTTATACCAAATTGAATTGAGCAGAGAACGACGCAGATTAGTAATTTTGCAGTGTTATTGGCGTTGATAGCGTGTGTGACATCATTGGTAGCTGAATGTCAAGTATCAGGCATAAGACCATTGTCTACGGTATCGATCGGTCCGGGTCTCTTTCTAATTGCGCTGTCTGGATTGTCCGCTTTCTTTGCAGCCATCGTCAGTTTGAGAAGGTTGTTGAATCATTGAACATAAACAGTTTGTGTTGTATTTGTTCAATCATTGCTATGCTATTAAATGGATCTGCGTTATATTTTTTTGCAGATTCATTTGTAGAGCAATTCATTTGTGCAGCATGGTGACAATCGCACATTCATTTGTGAAAAATTGAATTCTTTCAGAAGCAATCGTTTAGCGCATGAAAGACGAATACAAAATCAACGAATTCTGTGTGCACGTTCATTGCGCTCTTGGCGTGATATTGGTCGTCGAGCTGAAGATACAAGACCGATAATCGACTTCGAACGTTATCTTGATTCAGCAACCACAACAACTGCAACGCCTCTTGATATCATTCGAGCGTCTCCACTCGATGGGAGCACTGTTGATCAACAGCGCTAGGCGACTTCACGTGCTGTAGTTGAACATTCAAGTTTTTTTCTAATTATTGAATCATTTCAATTTTACTCATCAGTCAATCATAATTCCATTCAAGCGGCAAAAGGTGAACGTTTTTTCTCTCTCGGAAAACGTTAAATTATTGTTATATATGAGAAAACTGAACACATCAATTCAAAAACCATAAATGTGTACTTCATAGAGCTTATTGAAATTCTACATTCAAAATTTCAAGTGTATTGACCAAATCGAGAGAGAAAATAACGTGAACTAACCAAGAACTAGCTTATTCGATCATGGCTGTGGCTCGTCGAAATTGTTCGCTGTAGAATTTACTATGCTATTCATGTTCATGTAATATAGTATTTGTGTATGTTCAAAGTCAAATTCCTTATTTAACGTCGTTTAATACACTTCAATAATTAACGGTTTTTATGAATGAGCTTTCTCTTTATACTTATTGTGTTTGTATCTTTTATTCAATCAGCAGCTATTTCCTTGTCAGCTTGTTTTCGTGATGTGATGATTTGTTTTCTTGTTTAACGCGCATACTGTTTTTGTAGTAGATTTTGTTGCAGTATTTGAATTCGTGTGATATATTTGCTGAAGAAATACTTTAAGATCTCGAGTATTCTCATTGTGTAAGGCAGCTAATGATCATTGTCGTATTGTGATTCAATAATTTTCTTTACTTACCCACGGCAAACATGAACTGAATTGCATCATGTACAACATTATAAAATATGAATGTGTCTCGTATGTGTACTGATCGGTGTTTATCTGAAAAGTGAAATGTTATAGCTGAAAGTTTTTGGCAATTCTATTGTACTCTAAAATTTTTCTTCTCAGTGATATTGTTTTGGTTTTTTATTACGACGAAATTATCTTTTAATAATGTTCATCGTACTTCATCTTAGTCATTAGATATAGTGGCATTTAGAAATGAATATTTAATGCGATCTCCTCGAAGAAAACTTTGTGTGTTAATGAATGAACGCAACGAAGGAAGCTTATCACGAAGAAAGTAGTTGAATTCAGATCGAATGAGAAACGCATAAATTGATTTTTGTCGAGCATGTAGTTGCTGTTCATGCATTGAGTGGAACTGTTTGTGTTTGTTGTTGATGTGATATGATCATTCTACTCGTTCTATATTCTTGATAAATTTTCTAGTGCATATTTGTTCATTTATCTCATCGGGTTTCGAAATGTATTGTTCTGAAAAGTTGAACACTGACACCACAGATGATGTTTGTGTGTTTTGTGTTGCTATTTTCAAAATGTACCGTTCTCTTGCAATTTGCTCTTCAAATTATTATCTGTGTGTAAGCAGTCAAGTCAAAAGCTGTTTTTATGTGCTTATCACAAAAATCATTGCACCAAACAGGTGAACAGATTTACCTATAATATTTACGATGTGTCGCTTTTATCCTCAATGTTTGTGTTTTACTTATCAGTATTCACCTATTGTCAATGAATGTGCTATTGAATGTTCACAGAGAGCAATCAGTAATTACGAATCATTTCAAACAATGCACACCACTTTCTTCTGGCTGCATTCATGCTTATATTTGTGCAATAATCAGATGACCTTCTAATAAACGATTTTTGCAGTGCACATGAAAATATTCATCTCTAAATTATTTTATCTTAATATGAGTAGTCGAAATCACCAATAAATGAATAACTTGTTTTTACGCCAAAAATATCAGTTCCCTCCAATAAAGAGTGGTGCCTAATTTGAAGACATGGATTCAGCTCTGGCTGTGTATTTTTTGAAACTTTCGGCTTGTCGGTCTTCGGGAGGGGGGATGCAAAAAAAA